AAATTTACTTGATTTAAATTATCTCGATGTGATTATTGTTGGATCTTAGGTGAATATAATTAGTACGTATGTACTCGTATTATATTTTTCATCTTGAACGAGGAAATTTTTTTACAGGATGTTATATTCAAACAAATAAAAATAGAAATATTATTTCTGATGTACATTAGAAATTGTTATGGGCAATAACTGAAGTAAAAATGTATTAGCTTACAAAGTCTCTTCTTAAATCCATCGTCGCAACAGAATTAAAAATATCTGTTTTTTTTTTTACTGGCAAGAACAACTATGTTATATATATAACAACATTAGACGTATTTGATCATAAATTAAATTAAAATTGAATAAATAAATCAGGCGATTAAAATGACCTCGAGTTATACAGAACGGTGTGAAGGCTCCTATTTAAATGAGCTGTCATGTAAATATTGCGTATAGAAGAGAATGTCACCTATAATCATTTTATTTATCTAGGTCGAATGATTTAGGCGTATTCCAGGTAGACAGTTCTGGTCTCAAGAAATAGTGCGATTTCATTGAATTGAGGAGTAAATTATCCGAAAAAGACGGCACTTGGAAACAGTATACAAAATTCGACTATTTTCTCAGCAAACAATTGCCATTTTTAATGGTGAAGAACGAGAATTTGATCAGAATTTAAACTACTTTTCACTCCGTATTAGTATTACAATAATTGGAAAATTATCTTAAACTGTACCTGCAACCAACCACATGAGCTATAAAAGTACAGCTACAAAAATTAGAAAACCTTCCCATGTTGCGAATACCGGATCAATTTTTGCGGTAAACCGTGGTATTTATCCGTTCTGCGGTAATGAGAGTCGGTAACCGGACCGGTAAAACCGCGGTTAACCGCCGATTTTCATGCGGTTTTTATTACATGGGTTTAATCTAATTAATAAATATTTTTTATTTGAGAACTGTTTTATANGAGTAGCTTGTGCCACTCTCGGCAAAGATGTTTATTAGGCTACTTCAAGTTATCCAAAGTGTAACGACAAAACTAGAGTGTCGCCTATGCCCGTCGGCATGATGGTGTATTGTGTCATCTGGCATCTCCAGAGTGTACCAACTTCATACATAACGCACGTATATATAGGAGAGAGATAGAAGAGAGGCAGGAGAGAGATACATTAGAACAATGGAAAGAGAACAGAAAGAGAAGGAAGGAGAATCATCGAAGCGTGCTATCAGTATCGGCACACGTGGCAAATGCCAGTTCATTTTTTGTGGTAAAACCGCGGTATTTATCCGTTCTGCGGTAATGAGAGTCGGTAACCGGACCGGTAAAACCGCGGTTAACCGCCGATTTTCATGCGGTTTTTATTACATGGGTTTAATCTAATTAATAAATATTTTTTATTTGAGAACTGTTTTATAATTACTGACTTCATCATCTACTGTGCTTCCTCAATGTAACATATCCATAGCAATGAACTGAATGCTTAGCGGTAATCAATTCTTTAAATCTACTTTCAATGATATTTTTATCGATTTATGAAAATCTAAGCATGATAATAATTCGTAGCATTTCACTTTTTAGCGAAATTTACAGTAGTCCTGAACAAAGGAGACATGAACCATATTTTTAAATAACTGTTTCATCGTGAGGATATAGCTTCTAGTTAGCGGGTGCATTCATCAGTAAACATATTGATTCTTTATTTATCACAAAATTAACCGTTTAAAAAAGTGAGCTATCATTCAAAACTTTGTTTGAATGATCACATTTTTTAATGATAACTCTGTTGCAGTAATGCTCTAAATTTTTATTAAAGAAATCTGGAAAGTGGTCTAGAAATTTGTTGAAGAGATGAAATTGTCAGGTAAATAATACTAGTCGCCTTTGAGATGAGAGTGCTGCATGGCGTAGACCTAAACCATGAAAGCAAAGGAGAATAGAAATAGAAGGTATTTAGAATATGCAGACCAGATCGGACGGATCAATTTCATAATTGTATGGTGGATAGTAAATGACGATGCGCTTGTTATGGTCGACCGGTCGATCACTTTTTGGACTTGGATCTTTCTGAAAAAGTACATCCAAAAGCCGATAAATACCCATGACAACCATACGATGACGCCCAAGCGATTCAATAAAGAGTGAACTGAATGTCACTGGCTCTGTCTAAAACAAGATTATCAATTTTCTCATGTATTAAAGGCGCTGACAAATTATACGCTTATATCAATATCTGGAATTAGATCTTGAATCGCAAGTATGATCACACGTGCTCTTCTTCTGTTTTTGAGCATCTTTGGTGTTTGACATTGTACAAAACGTTTGCCTTCTGCTAATATTTCTTCTAATTGTGGATCAATGCCACCCATAAGAATGTTCCGAAGAAGGTTGACTGCGTTTTCGTTATAATAAGCCTGTAAAATAAACAAACACGCTACTTTTAGTTTATTGGAATCTCACTGTCCGCTTCATCAAAACGAATACCAACTCGTAAAGTTTTTTATTTCAGATAGCAATTTATGGAGAAAAAAAATCTAATTCTTTTATTTAATGGATCTAGTGTTCATTGATTTTAATTAAATAATTACAATTACAGTGAAATATCGCGCAAATAGCTATGTCAAAAAGAGAATATTGGTCTTGATTAGTTTTTGTACCTTTGTAAAAAAAAGTCCATGTATCAAAAAAGCTACTATTGCATGTAGCTAACACTATTGAAAGAGTACAAATCGGTTATTAGCTTCTCATCAGAATAATTGATTTTTGCTTTTCATAAACCTGTATTTTCTCATACGTATAACAACAGTAGTTTCAAGTTTGACGTGTATGATCACGTGATGCATTAAATACGGCAACAGACGGGATACATTTCGCTTATTTTGTTGTAATACTAACAACGATTTGAGTTATCAGCATCTGGCATAAAATAATTTGTATGTATTCTATCTGTAATCAGAAACAGAATGTTCAACTGGCTAGCACACAGCTTATGTTTAAGACAGATTCAATTCAGAATACAAATGTAACAGTACCCCAGGTCAATGATTCCAGAGAACGGATACCGTAGGAACAGACTGGAAAGATGCGGAAAAATCACCATATCTGTCCAGAAAGCCTAGGAAAGCGCTGGAAAGTGGAAACAGTATTCCCGTTGGAAATTGACGGATTTTTGCGGTGTATTCCGGTCAACTTCCAGCCAGAAAGCACAGGAAACTGACCGGAATCCATAGGAAAATAATCCGGTAATTTCCGACCGGAATACTGCTTCCACTTTCCAGCGATTTCCCGTGTTTTCCTGCTTTTCTCATCGTGCCTATACGATTTGGGGTAGAAGTCTACAAGATCATGACTGATTAAATTTCAAGAGTTGATTTGAAAGTCAAAGATATACAATCAGTGAAAATATTTTCTTAGTTGATAAACTCAACTCCAGTTCAAACATATTTGATCTCATGCCATAGTATATAGGGTGAAAGCTAAGAATGACTCGCAAAATCACATGTACATTTTATTGTTCTATCGATACCTAAAAAATTTAACTGTTTATGGAATTCAAACTTTTCTGATTGCACTTGAAGCTAATTAAATGATTTGCAACGTCGGACAGTCGACTTCTCCATCTAGTTCTCTACGGAAATATCTTAAAGAGTCAAATTTGTATGATAATTGTTCTTTTTCTTTAATTTCATCTCTATAAAAAAATGTTCGGAAAATGATACTCACACAGCTGAGTATGCAGTCAAGGACACTATCCGCAAATGCTGTACCTTAAACAAGAAAAAAAGAAAATTGAAACGAAAATCAGTGTTATAGGTACCCGATGCAAATGGAGTGGTTAAAAAAAACTGCAGATCAGCTTCATCTGTATGACCTGTAGCAAAAAGAAAAACATAGTAGACTTTAATAAAAGTCGATTATTTAACCTTGTTCAACATATTGGACATTCGAATCAATAGCTAAAGCAACGAAGAAAAAACTAATATAATAGACGAAGAAAATGACACACTCATTACTAATTGCGGCCAATGTTTGGATGTGGTTATGAAATACAGATTTAGTCTTCAGCATATCATGGTCTGTATTACTTTTTCGGACTACACCGAGATCGGTATGTAATCCAGCACATTGTATTGAGATTTGTCGAATGGTAAGAGCACACAGAATAGATGATTTATCGACTAAGTAAGTGTCCAAATTGCCGCGATCTAATGTAGACATGATGACGCATTGACGGCAGTTGTGAATTGAAATCAGTTTCAGATTGTACGGATTATTTGGCGAACCCTGTATTACAGTATAATTAGTTCTATTATTTTTTCTTGAAGACAAAATATGATAGGAAATGATAGCATACTCCTGCATTCCTTCGCTCTCATATAGAAATACATGATTCAAATCTTCAATAGTACTCCGCATTCAGAAGTATGCTATATTCTCTTCGTCAAGGGGGGAAAAGCGGCTCCTCATGGATTCTGGCGGATTCTATGGATCCTAGTAGATTCTGACGGATTCTGTGGATCCTAGTGGATTCTATGGATTTTACTGGATTCTACTGGATCCTGCTGGATTCCAGTGGATTCCTATGGTCTTAGTGGATATTTGAAGATATGTGAAGATCAGTATCTACTCCTTATCGCTGTCGCTTGCTTTTTTTTAGTCGAAAATGATGG